TGTGAGAGTTTCTCAAAAATGCATGCCAAAAAGAAGGAAAAAAAGTCAGAACGTCTGGGTTAATTCAAGAGGTAGGGAGCTGGGGAAGTCTATTCTGGTACCCTGAGTCATGAACTCATCCACTTCTTTTTAGGCTGACCTACCTCACAAGATTGTTGTTGAGAGAATAAAGAAACAAGCAAACAGAATTAAAAGAGACCAAGTGAAATACTGATGAGCCTCTGGATCTCTCATCTCCTGAATCGGTATTTCAGAGGTTTTCTATGTCGTTTGTAGGAAAAGGCTTCTTTTTGACATTTGGCCTCCTGTTCAGATATCAAAGGGCTGGTTTCTAGGCACAAGGTCTTGGACAAGTGAAAATAAAAATACAGTTTTGAGGTGAGGGAAAGGCTGCAATGTCTGTTCTCAAAAGAGTCTGTGAAACAAAAGAGATAAGAGGCTGGAATCTAGCAAGAAGTCACTAGAGATGGTCTACTGAATCAGTAGGAATTTGGTGAGCCAACATCTACGCAAGCTCCACTGAGTCAATGAGCCTACTCTAATTGCAACAAAGTACTGGATTTCAACCCACCCCTCCTTTCGCTTGACATAGGGTAACACACACACACACACACACACACTCCCACCATTAATCCTTACCAATCAAAGTGGCCTCTTCATCATCTCCCATTGCAGGAGGCTCTGTCTGATTAGGGATGGAACCTTCCCTGCTACTGGAAAAGCCAGACTGAATCTCTGCAGATAAATTTTGGATTTGAAAAACGAATAAAGATCCAACACATGTTATGAAAAGGAACAGAAAACAAATGACAAAAGCAATCATCTTGAGGTTTGGGTTCCGGTTGGTATGAGACATAATACTCAGTTTTGCACAAGAAAAATGCGCGCAACGGGCAGGAAGTGGTAGGATTTCTTATCTCATGTTAGCCAGCAGGCAAAGTCAAGGGGAAGGGGATTGCTCCCCTGAGCCCACAGAGAGGGGTCACTACAGCTGTAACAGGGACAATAATAGATCAAAGACGTCATTAGAAGACTAGGCACACTGTGGGGGGGGGATACACCTCGTTTTAAAGGAGACTCGGATCTGGAACTATGATTCTGCCATAAAGCAAGGTGCACACTGCCCCCCCCCACACACCTTGCTTTCAAAAGTAACAGAAGGATGAGGGCAGCAAATTTCAACAGAACAGCAGGGAAGAGAGGGCAGCGAAATAGGCAGCAGACGCTAGGCCCCTGAGATTAATAGCTTTTACCTGCTGCCATTCCTGTTACTGATCCTCTGCCTGACTCAAGGGGAAGCCTTCGGCCAGGGACACTGCCTGGGAAGTGGCCCAAGATAGCCAACACGACTTTTACATTATCAACCAAATGCTTTATGTGGTGTTGGTGTCCCCATCCAGAGTTAAAAGGGGGGAAATCCCTAACAAGGAGGGCAAAATATTGTAACACTTTTGAGACAAACAAACCTGTGTCAGGGTGAACTTTCATGGCTCAAAATCCAGTTTTTTTTAAAGACACTGGTGCCTTCCTACAATGTCTTCCCCACGGTGGTCAGTTATGACCAGGTGAGGATTCAGTCCACAGAAAAAGGAACAACTGCAGCATTAACATAGGATGGGGACTATCAGGATGTTAATGACTTAAGAGTGACAGGATCACTCTCAGAAGCAGTATAAATCACATTAGAAGAGGAACAAGAAAATAAACTTGGGGGTCTCTTTCTCCAGCCCTGTCCCTCCTCCTCCAGTGCCCCAGATCCCTTCACCCAGTGGTGTCGAACTGTGGCCCTCCAGATGTTCTTGGACTTCAAGAGTTGAAGGCCAAGAACATCTGGAGGGCCACAGTTCGACACCACACCCTTCCCCTCCCGACCCCCCCCGAAGGACCCGCCTTCACCCCCCAGGGACAACTTCGGAGGAAGAGAGAGAGGGGGGCTTTCCAGATTCCAGGAATAAAAGGCACGCCAGGCGACCCTTACAAGAACAGAAGCCCCGTTTCCCTCCGGAGGAATTAAAAAAAGGCACAGGGAGGCACTTCTTTTAGAGAGGGAGCATTTGGAACGGAAGACATGTCTCGTTCCCATTTCCGACCTAGGAATCCCGACTCTGTGCTCTTAACCCTTCGATAGGACGAGACGTGAGATGTGGGCATCTAGGTCTCTCTAAAAGAGGCTCTCAGGAAACATCCTTTACACCAATTAAGATTTGGATTTTAGAGGATGGGACCTCAGGGTTTTGAGGGGAGGGCTCTGGGGCTTCCTTGCCCACATATCGCCCAACTGTTTTCTCCCCATTTCTTCTCGAATTCAATCCAGTACTAGCAATTAGCATCCTTATTCCCTCCTCTTTCTTTTCATTTAAGAAGCACCAACCAGAGAAAGCAGCGAGAAGCCACGACTCTTGATTATAAGCTGTGGGAAACGGGCCTGGACCCATTTTCCTTTCCTATGATTCAGAGGAGAGAAAATGGTTGTTTTCAAAGAATTAGCTGCCTCTTCTAACAGATCTGGTTGTTGTTAATTGTGACCCTATTATTGTGCAGTTGGTGTGTTCTACTTGGAACACATGTTCAAACAGCGTTTGTGGGATGCACACAAAACAACATCTATGTCTGCACCTTGAAATGAAGCCAGAATGCAGATTGATTAGACTGGGTTAATTCTGCCCCAACACACTTTGACTTGATCTAGTAAGTTAATGCTCTGTCTTCAACCACCGATGACAAAGCTGGTCTCTCTTACTGCCATGAAGTTGAAAATTAACTGATCACGACCTTAATAGGGCTTTCTGTTGCAGAGATTTGAATTTTTGGTTAAACTCTTCTAGCTGTACAGCAGAAGCACAAGGACTCAAAGACCAGAATACCTTTTAAGTTCCCCATATTAGTCCATTGCTCTTTTTCTCTCTCATCAACTGTCACTTACAGTCTTTCAATAACTCACTCTGAGACAGCAGAAGAACTAATAAAAGGTTTCATTACTTAGAACTGAACAGACGAAACAGCAAACTGACTAACATGACTGCTTTCAATGACAGACTTCAACAGATTCTAGAAAGGCAGGTTTCTTTTTGAATTCAGGGTCAGGAGAGAACAATTGGTTAGTGCTGGACAGACTGACAGTCAACCCAGCCCAGAAAGGTCCCTCCCATCTACACATTCTGCCGGGGCAGCAGTTCTTTGGACATCCATCGGTTCATTTCTTTCCCACTGAGGATTCTCCATCTTGACCTGCCTTCCCATCGTGTCATCTGCAAAGAAAGAATAATTTTGCTCATTCTTTGGACTCCAGAGAAAGGCTCTGGGTGCCCAGATGTTTTTGAACTAGAGCTGCCAGAAATCCTGTCCGGCACAGCTAGTGGTGAAGGCTTCTGGGAGTTGTAGTCCAGGAGTATCTGAGGATCCAATGTTGGGAATCACAGTGATTTTTATTAATTTTTTTGGTGGTTTTTACATTGCAGGATGCCAAACACAAGGCTTTTGATAACCCTTTTTTTTCCTGGTAAAATAAGAGACAACTTAAAAGTTCTCCCTTATATTATTTTTAAAATAAGGAATTAATTAATGAATATAACATTCATGTACTATCTAATCCATTCCAATTTAGGCAACTGTTTTCAGGGTTCCATCTTGACCTGCCTTCCCATCGTGTCATCTGCAAAGAAAGAGTAATTTTGCTCATGTGACTGTGCAGCTTGCCCAAGGACACCTAGGCTGGATTTTTTGGGATGCACGGGGGGGGGATCGAACTCCCAGCCTCTGGCTCTGCAGCCAGATACAGTACCTAAAACACTGAGACATCCAGCCAGATAAGGAACTAATGTCTGCCTAATAATGGATAATCATTTTATTTCTTTAAATGAAGCAACCTCTTGGAAAAAAACAAGAAAGAATGAGGGGAGAAAGAGGTTTTATATCCATTGGTGGTCCTCCACCAGCATAATGGGCACTCCTGGCAGAAAACAGCCCAGCTAACGTTTCACAAATCCTCTTCAGGGAGGGAAATTCCAGTCCCTTTTGGTTAATGGAGGAGGCAGTCCATTTTCCTCCTAATTTTTAATAGTCAAAATCCTATTAAATAGGTCCACTGGTGTATTAAGCAATCCCTGTTAATTTCAGGAGGTGAATTTATCCTGTCACTGAAAGGATAAAATGTCAGTGTAGGCATTGCCTGTTGTGCGCTGATTCAGCTTGGCACACAGCAAACACCTCTGCTGACTTCTTCACTTCCAGCAATTCACCGCTGAGATTTACAACCACGAGACCTGGTTCCCATCCTTCTCTGCTACCTGTTTCCTTACTTAACAACAACAATAATAAAGAACAACAACAATAATAAAGACACCATGGTCTATTTCTGTCACAGTTCATCGTCCTGACAGGAGTAGCGGAAAAAGCTGAAGGGCTGAAGGATGAAAGGAGCCAGGATCCTGCCTTCAAGGGAAAGATGCATGAGGCAAAGCCAGAAGATGATGATAATATTCATCATCCTAGTCATATTCTGTCAATATTGTTGCTTTTCCATGCAAATTTCCACCGGAGAGCTATATTTTAAGCAAAAAAGCTGGGAACGGAATATAACTCATGGATGTATTGGTTCTTTTCAGGTACAGGACGACTCCCATCTCCAGAGGGGGACTGGTTGCAAGACGCCCCCACGGAGGCTGAAAAACAGGGATTATATTGAACACTATTATAACAGTGAATGCTATGTACATAGCATGGTTTCTGTCTCCCTCTAGTGCTACGTTCTGGGGACATCACAGGTAAAAAACATTTGGGGGATTTTTCTTTTAATGCTTTTAATATTTTCAGACTGTGGATAAGAGAATCTGTGGATACTGACTCCATGGATAAAGGGTCCTACTGTATATGGGCTCAGAATTTGAACTGATGTTCTCTTCTTTTTGCTCATCTGCCTTTCCCCCCCCCTTAGTTCTACAAATGGCAAATCAAACAAGCAGATGTGGAGGAGACCAGAGGAAAAATCTCCTTACCCAAAGAGTTAATGGTCTCGCCATCCTCCAGCAGAACCTGCCAGAATACGGTCTGACTGCTTGGCTGGGTCAGATCCTGGTGGCTCTTGAGCAAAGACGGGCACGTTTCCTTGGCGACCACCAGCCCCTGTACAGATGGGGAAAAAATGGGAGCCATTTGCTTTCAGGTAAGACTTTGTCATGGAAAAGAAGATGAAGGCTAAGGCAAAACACAACAGAAAATTATATAATTGACAGCAGGAAGCCCACTGAAGAGCAATCATGGAACAAGAAGGTGTTGTAAGTCTACATAGAATTGGTCAATTTCAGCTTCTTCAGCATCCGTGGTTGGTGCATAAACTTGGATTGCCTTGAATTGTGTATTGAAATCATTCTATCATTTTTGAGATTGTATCCCAGTACAGCTTTTCCCACTCTTTTGCTGACTATGAGGGCTACTCTATTTCTTCTACGGGCTTCTTGCCCACAATAGTAGATATGATAATCATCTGAATTGAATTCGCCCATTCCCATCTATTCTAGTTCACTGATGCCCAGGATGTCGATGTTTATTCTTGCCATCTCCTGTTTGACCACATCCAGCTTCCCAAGGTTCATAGATCTTACATTCCAGGTTCCTATGCAATATTTTTCTTTGCAGCATCGGACTTTCCTTTCACTTCCAGGCACGTCCACAGCTAAGCGTCCTTTCGGTTTTGCCGCCTTCACCCCCCAGGGACAACTTCGGAGGAAGAGAGAGAGAGAGGCTTTCCAGATTCCAGGAATAAAAGGCACGCCAGGCGACCTTTACAAGAACAGAAGCCCCGTTTCCCTCCGGAGGAATTAAAAAGAGACACAGGGAGGCACTTCTTTTAGAGAGGGAGCATTTGGAACGGAAGACATGCCTCGTTCCCATTTCCTATCTAGGAATCCCGACTCTGTGCTCTTAACCCTTCGATAGGTTGAAATGTGGGCATCTAGGTCTCTCTAAAAGAGGCCCTCAGGAAACAGTCACAGGGCACCCTCTAGAGGAAGGTAAAGGTAAAGCACTTCTGAATATTCTCTACCTGGGAAACTTTAAAAATCCTCCACTACACCACTGGCAGGATCTGAGTGGCTGTTGATGGTACAAGATCTGAGCGGGACTCTTTGCAATAGGACCTTTGCAAGACCTGAGCCGGGCTTTTAAAGGCAGTACCATTCGGAGGACATGAAGTCATCAGGTCATCACTAAAAGTAGGAAGAAAGGACACATAACGACAACAGTGATGCTCCTGAACAGCCTGACAGACCCGTGGCTTGAATCTCCTGCCCAGATTTTGAGACAAGAGGTTTCTTTCACTCTTTTTAGTGAGGCAAGAAAGTGAGAAGCCATCTCAGGGTTAAAATCAGAGAGACAAACTTCTCAGAGTGGTGCTGCAATGTCTGCATTAGGTGGCCCAGATCAGCCGCCCGTCCCTCCTGTCAGGGACTCTTAAAGGGTCCTGCAGACAAGAGAGGAGGTGAGTGGGAGGGAAATGCAAGGCAGAAAAAAGGGGAGGAGGCTAGTTGTAAATAAAGAGAATCCAGAATGTAACCTCTTTCCTGCCCATGGCTAGCATGAGGTCCAGGCTCCTGCATGAAGGTCTACTTTCTTTTTTCTTTCTGGCAAACTGAGAGGGGAAAAAAACAACTAAAATCAGGCACCACGAGGGTGGTGTGAGACAGAATGCCCCAAATCCATACTGGAACCCCAGAATCCCCAAATTGTATGGTAGTCCTTTCCAAAGGATTCAGATGCCCCCCCCAAATCAGGCAGGGGGAGGTAAGGGTCTTGATCCTGCAGCCAGATCTATATGTTCCTGTCTTGTGGTCTAACCCAGTGGTTCTTAACCTTTGTTACTCGGATGCTTTTGAACTGCAACTCCCAGAAACCCCAGTCAGGACAGCTGGTGGTGAAGGCTTCTGGGAGTTGCAGTCCAAAACTCCTGAGTAACCCAAGGTTAAGAACCAGTGGTCTAACGGCAGGAGGTCAGGGGAGCGGGAGGAATGGTCTGCAGACCCAGCTGTGGGGGCTGCACGGGTAATTTGCTGTTCTTAGGTCTTCTCTAGAGTCACCCCAAGGCTTGGTTGGGGTGGGAAGAGTGTGTGCAATGAAGTTTGATCCTTCCCTGATTTAGACGTCTGGCTGCAGAGCCAGAGGTTTGGAGTTCGAATTCCCCACTGAATTTCCTTGACGGGGGCTGGACTTTATGATTCTTAGGGTCCCTTTTCAGCTTGCTGTTCTAAGAGGATGATCGTGAAGTTTTTTTTTGAAAAGACAAGCCCCACTCCCCAAATGAAAACTGGCTTCTTTCAAATGGGAGCTCGGGGTGGTTTCTTTTCCATGTATATATACAGTATTAAAAAAAAAAACAGCACAGGCAGTTGATACATTCACCACCTTGGAGATAATTCAGAGGTGAGGTTACATTCAAAGGGGGAACACAATGCAGATTGGATCGCATCACCAGTTTGTGGGACGTTGCTCAAGACTCTTGCCTCAGAGTTTGAAGGAGTTGGTTCATACCTCTTTCCCTTTGCAAAGCAATAAAAGAACAAGTAAGGGGCTGGATGAGGAAAAAGCCGCTTGCCCTGTTTTTCCCCCCGACCCCTAGCCAGATACATAACTGAGCCAGGCGTTAGTAGTTTGATCCCCTTCCGTGCCTCCTTGCCAGTGTAGAGCCAGGCTGGGTCGGCCTGGGCAAGCTGCACCATCCCCAGGGTGACTCTGGAAGAGGCCACGGGAAACCCCTTCTGAGAAGTCGCTTTCTGGAAATTCCTATAAAGTCAGAATTGACTGGATGGAACATCATTGTTTCTTGCTAACGGGTGAGTTTGTGATCTGTGGCTGAGTGTATTAAGATGACTTCCCCTCCACCAAAGGCAGAAATGATAAGAGAGTCTCTTGAAGGAAGAAGGAACGATGGGAATGAGAGGAGAAAATAAGAGAATACCATGGAGTCCTTAGGGTTTGTGCAGTGCTTTTCACCCACCTCTTCTTGGTGCCCTCTCCACCTTAATAGTCCCTTCTCTTTCTTGTAGGAAGAAGACAGAACTTTCCATTCTCTGTTGTGCGTGGAGGTCTTTTTGCCCGACATCCAAAATGAATGTAGACAGAAGGGTTGGGGGGCATCTGCCTGATGTCGTTCCTCCACCCGACCATAGCTCTGTCCTTGCCTTTTGAAACAAAGCGAGGGGGTCCTTGGAGTCCCGTCAAAGAAGCAGAAGGTGGCAGGTAGAACAAAGATGGAAGGACAACCTTCAGCTGGACCTGAAGCAGAAAGAGGACGTCCAGAGGCCGCTAAGCCTGGAAACAGGGGAGAAGCACCAGTCCAGAAGAATCCAGCCACAGACCCTGGCAGCTGGGATGTATGGCGCCGATGCTTTAGGAGGTTCTGTTACCAGGATGGCAAAGGGCCCCGGGACGTCTGTAGCCGACTGCACCACCTTTGCTCTCAGTGGCTGAAGCCAGCCTGCTGTACAAAGACTCAGATCCTGGACCTGGTGATCCTGGAGCAGTTCTTGACGGTCCTGCCCCCAAAGATGCAGAGCTGGGTCCGGGAATGTGGGGCGGAGACCAGTTCCCAGGCGGTGGCCCTGGCCGAAGGTTTTCTCCTGAGTCAAGCAGAGGAGAAAGGAAAGGAAGTGGAGCAGGTGAGCACATTTCCCCTTCAGCACTCAAAAGGTCAGAAAATGGCTAATGTTATCACTAGCTGCTTGGTTGTCCTCGGACAGGGGTCTCCATCCCTTTTCTCGAAATCATGGGAAACGGGGGAGGTGCCAGAGGATTGGAGGAGGGCCAATGTTGTCCCTGTCTTCAAAAGGGGCAAAAAATTTAAGAACCTGGGAACTATAGGCCAGTCAGCCTGACATCAATCCCAGGCAAATTTTTGGAACAGATCGTAATGCGGTCATTGTGCAACCACCTAGAAAACAATGCAGTAACAACTAGAAGCTAGAGATGGGGAATACAAATATCCCTGCAGAGGTGGTGTTAACGAGGGTCTAGACCAATGGGGCTGGATGGTCCACTCACTGATCAGACGTGGACGGCGCGATTCTACCAATGGCTCCGCAGCGCGCAATCCACTCGCCACTCTTCGACCTTGCAGCGAGGCTTGTCCTCCCGCCTCCTGCCAGGAGTGGTGAGCGGATCGCGTGCTGTGGAGCCATTGGTAGAATCACGCCATCTGCATCCGCGGTGGATCAGTGAATGGACCGTCCGACTCCATGGGGCCGGACCCTCGTTAATGCCACCTGTGCCGGGATATTCGTATTCGAACACCCCCATCTCTACTAGAAGCCAACACAGATTTGTCAAGAAGAAATCCTGCCAAACTTTGATCTTGTTTTTTTGTTCAGGTCACCTCCCTGGCAGACAGGAAATGCTGTAGACGTAGTATATCCTGACTTCAGCAAAGCTTTTGACAAAGTGCCCCATGATATCTTGATTAGCAAGCTAACTAGATGTGGGCTGGTTAGATTAAGTATCGGGTGGGTACACAGTTGGCTACGGAATCATACTCAGAGGGTGATGATTAATGGGTCCTTCTCTTACTGGGAGGAGGCTACAAGTGGGGTACCCCAAGGCTCAGTCCTGGGTACTAGGTGTATTTGCAGAAAGAGGGTATTCCAGAGTCAGGGTGGAGAGGGGAGATTATGGGAAGAGGTGCTCTGCCAGATGATCTGATCCCAGCCAGCTGAGGGTTTCTGCCTTGATTTGGGCTCAGAAGCAGATAGGTTGCTGGTCTGATTCTTTCACTGAATTTATTTATTTTTAATTTATTTATTAGATTTCTATCCCGCCCTTTTAGACAGAGTCTACTCCATTAAACATTATAAACGAAAACAGTTAAAACAATTCACAACAATCTCCATGCATTCCTTCCTTTTTGCCTCTTTCCCTCTCTTCTCTCTTCCGTCTTCTTTCCGATGCAGGCCGTGTTAGGCAAAAGAACTGCTGTGTTCCACCAGGCAGAGAAAGGCCCAAACGACGCTAGAGAGCAGAAAGAGTTGAGGCAGGTTGTGCAGGAAAATGATGGAGGTGCTGCCTTGCCAGGTAAGGGATTTTTCTGATCTCCATGTTTCTTGAGTAGGCTTGACCTTCTTGGCTCTTTTCTCACTTGATTTGGGCCTGGTTGGGAGATGAAGGGTATGTTACATAGAGCAGAGGAATCTGAACCCACTGCACATTGAATTGTATGGGAAAGCATGATAGAGACATTTCTTTCTTCACCGATTACTTCACTGCCTGTTCTCTGGAAATGAGTTTGGAGGGGCTGCTTTCTAAGACACTTGCTCCAAACACCAGCTAGATAGGGTTCAACAGGGAAAAGGGTAAAGTACTGCACGTCGGGAAAATAAACCAATTGCACAGTTACAAGATGGGGGATACCTGGCTCAGCAAAACTATGATCAAGAAGGATCTTGGAACAAGCCATATATGAGCCAACAGTGTGAGGTGGCTACAAAAAAGGCTAATGCTATTTTAGGCAGCATTAATAGAAGTATAGTTTCCAAATCCCATGAGGTTCTAGTCCCCCTCTATTCAGCACTGGTTAGGCCTCACTTTGAGTATTGTGTCCAGTTCTGGACTCCACACGTCAAGAAGGATGATAACAAATTGAAACACGTTCAAAGGAGGGCGACAAGGATGATCAGGGAGTTGGAAACCAAGCCTTATGAAGAAAGGCTGAAAGAACTGGGCCTTGAAAAAAGAAGACTGATGGGGTGATATGATAACACTTTTCAAATATTTCAAAGGCTGTCATACAGAGGGAGGACAAGATCTGTTCTCGATCATCCCAGAGTGCAAGACATGCAATAATGAGCTCAAGTTAAAGGAAGCCAGATTTCGGTTGAATATGAGGAAAAACTTCCTAACTGTTAGAGCAGTATGAAAGTGGAGCCAGTGAATTCAGGAGTAAGTGAGGGCTCCAACACTGGAGGCATTCAAGAAAATCTTAGATAATCACCTAGCACACTGGTTCTTAACCTTGGGTTACTCAGGAGTTTTGGACTGCAACTCCCAGAAGCCTTCACCACCAGCTGTCCTGACTGGGGTTTCTGGGAGTTGCAGTTCAAAAGCATCCGAGTAACAAAGGTTAAGAACCACTGACCTAGCAGATCTGCTTTGATGGTATTCCTGCACTGAGCAGGGGGTTGGACTTGATGGCCTTGTGGGCCCTTCCAACTTCACTTTTCTATGATTCTATGATACTATAGTCAGTACTACGTGTATTTGCAGAAAGAGGGTATTGCAGAGTCAGGGTGGAGAGGGGAGATTATGGGGTGCTCTGCCAGATGATCAGATCCCAGCCAGCTGAGAGTTTCTGCCTTGATTTGGGCTCAGAAGCAGATAGGTTGCTGGTCTGATTCTTTCACTGAATTTATTTATTTTTAATTTATTTATTAGATTTTTATCCTGCCCTTTTAGACAGAGTCTACTCAGGGCGGGTTCCATTAAACATTATAAACTAAAACAGTTAAAACAATTCAAAACAGTCTGCATGCATTCCTTCCTTTTTGCCTCTTTCCCTCTCTTCTCTCTTCCGTCTTCTTTCCGATGCAGGCCGTGCTAGTCAAAAGAACTGCTGTGTTCCACCAGGCAGAGAAAGGCACAAAGGACGCTAGAGAGCAGGTTGTGCAGGAAAATGATGGAGCTGCTGCCTTGCCAGGTAAGGGATTTTTCTGATCTCCATGTTTCTTGAGTAGGCTTGACCTTCTTGGCTCTTTTCTCACTTAATTTGGGCCTGGTTGGGAGATGAAGGGTATCTTACATAGAGCAGAGGAATCTGAACCCACTGCACATTGAATTGTATGGGAAAGCATGATAGAGACATTTCTTTCTTCACCGATTACTTCACTGCCTGTTCTCTGGAAATGAGTTTGGAGGGGCTGCTTTCTAAGACACTTGCTCCAAACACCAGCTAGATAGGGGAATTTGAAGCAATCTGGGTCATATCTTGCCTTTAGTATGATGTATTTCATCTCGCACATGAGTAATTGTTACATTCACGTGGGAGACGTTTCTTCTCCCATAAGAAAGATCCAGTCAGCACTTCAAATTGCTATAGTTTGTCTCCCTTTCAGTTATTGACATCCCTTTCTCTAACCCTTTCTCCTTCTTTTGTTGCAGCTGTCTTTCCATAAGCTGCAGCTACTTCTTTCTTTTTTGAGTTCAGTATAGTAAGTGGAATAGCGCTATAGCAATACATCAGCTTAGCATGGATATTCCCTGATATTTGAAAAAACACTGTGTCATTCAGGAGAATATTAAACATTGTGAGAAGAGAAAAATAGAGTAAGGGGTTTTTCTGCCTTCTTTTCTACTGTCACAAACAACTGCACATGTCACAGGGTTGTCACCAAAGATAATGCCACCCACAGCTCTAACAAGGGTGAGAATGAAGCAAACACACAGATTGCAGAACAGGATAATCAGTCACGCCAAATAAACTGCAGCCCTTGTGCTCTGCTAGAATGGAGCAGGAACAGCAAATGTAATTGCTGGAAAAGAGGGAGAACCACACCACACCAAAAGCAAACCAAATAAGGAGCTATACGGTTGTCTGATTGACCCTTCAGTGCAGGAAATGTGGGCCTAGAAAATTTCTGCCTGGTTGCTCCCCAGTCCAGGGAATGCATTTGCCTAATTATGTTTTGAAAACAAAGTCTCCACCCTTTCTCCTCTGTTCGGCCTCTTAGATGGTGGAACAAGCTGTGGGTCTTCAGCTGTCACTATGGAAATGGATTCAGCCCAGCCTGATCAGGTAGGAGAAGTCGAATCAGAGGGAAGCGCTGGGAATGGTGGGAATGGGAAGATGTCGTCTGGATGTCCCGGTTCCAAAATATTGTACGGATAAAGCGAGCCTTACTGGATCTGTCCAACGGCCCATCTTGTCCGATGTAGTGTCTTCTACAGTGGCTAGCTGGATTCCTCTAGGGAGCTCAAAAGCAGAACAGGAGAGCATTGAATCCTCTCCTTTTATTCCTCCTCAGCAACTGGTATCCAAACTCCCGTTGCCTAGAGATATAGCTGGATAACCTTCCTGTGCGTATTACTCACAGGTAGCCTTCTATTCTGTGATTTTTCTCTCTTCTTTTCATTCCATTGATATTGGTGGAGGAAAGCATAAGTTGTGGCAGTTCATTTTATAGTTTAATTATGTGCTCTATTTATGCATTTTTTTTACTACCAAGGCTCTCAGAAATTTACAGGCCTCTCTTGTGAGCTCCAGTGGGAGAGTCCTGGCCTTCTAGCTTACGTACCTTCTAAGCGACACAGCACAAAAGGAAAAGTGATGGAGACGGAGGAGGAAAAAAGCAAGCTCAACTGACCTGTTCTTGAGTTCCCTTCGTGCTTGTAGAGAAACTAGAAACATTTTAAAGGGAGAGGAGCAGTACGGAGATGAAGTGTTGCGGCTTGTGCAGCGTCCTCTGGCTTCCTCGTGTTTCTTCCATGGCAGCTGGTTGCAAGGGCTGTTTCTGGAAGACAGACAAAGGGGAGAACGAGGAATCCTGATGCAGCTGGCTTAGCCATGTGACTCTGTTCGTCTCCATTCCCTCTGTCTCTTAATGCCTCAAACATGTCGATCCCCTTTTTTTATGGTTTTGGATTCTCATATGAGATGGGATGTGTGTTAGGTACTCTATCTGGCTACGGAGCCAGAGGCTGGGAGTTCAATCCCCCGCCCCCACTGTGCCTCCCAGGAGAAAAGCCAGCCTGGGTGGCCTTGAGCAAGCTGCACAGTCCCAGGGCTCCCTCTAGAGGAAGGGAAGGGGATACCACTTCTGAGTACAGTACTCTAGCTAGAAAACTCTGAAAATGGTCGCCATAAGCACTTCTGAGTATTCTCTGTCTGGAAAACTGAAAATGGTCGCCGTAAAACAGAATTTATTTGATGGCCTTCAATTATAACGATTATTAAGAGAAAGGATTTCCCCCCTCCTATCCAATTTTCTCACAGCATGCCTAATTGTATTCACCTCTGTCTTATCCCTCTTCCTTAGTTGTCTTTTAAATAAAGCAAAATGTTCCAATATTACATTTCCTCATAGGATTTCCCCACACACATACACACACACACACACTCCTAGTTCCTTGTTCTTGATTCAGTTTCCATACATTTTCCATATGCTTTTGAAGACGGGGAGGGTAGTACACAGCTTTCAAAGTGTGGATTTTACGTCATAAGATTTTTGTGATAGATTTACAGTCTTGGTGGTTTTATGGGAATAGATAATGAGAAAAGGGAAATGCCTTAATGCTAGGTTTCGGGTGGTGGTGGGGAGGGACAGGGTGGGCACGATCCACTCCTCAGAGACAGCAGGCCCAGTTTCCCTGCTGCCTCTGAGGAGGGTGGCTGCCACAGGAGCAGGTAGAGAGGCCCAGTGGCAGAGATCAGTGAGTGGGGGCAATGGTGGAGTAAGGCGTGGTGGCAGAGGGAAAGGGGTAGTGATAGCAGGGGGCGGGCAAAAGGATTTGAGACTCAGACTTGGGCCTTGGGACCCAAGACTGAACTCAGGACTCGGAGCACAAGATCTGTCAACATCACTGGAAACCATCTCCTCTGGTAATAACAAGACCTTCTAATTTCAGAATCTCAAGATGTTTGAGGAGGTGGCTGTGAACTTCACGGAGGAGGAGTGGACTCTGTTGGATCCAGACCAAAGAGCTCTGCAGCAGGAAGTCATGGAGGAGATTTCTAAGAATCTGGCCTCTCTGGGTAAAGCTCCCTCCCTGCCTTGTTTGGGAGACCCTGGAACAGGAATGGCTGCTGCCATTTGTCCACACCAACAGAGTCTTGAACGTGGGCCATGCTGGGTAAAGGATCCTCTATGTACCATTGTGAGAAAGCAACTTTTCCTGGTATTAGAAGTTTAGGATATAATGCAGATATATTTATATCTAAACAATGGGAGGAAAATGTTATGGACAAACAGGCCTCGTTGAACATATATATCAACCAAGAGTCTTGTTATCTGTGACTTGGCCTTTGGTTCACCTCAACCATGATTGCCCCTAGCATAGTCTCCTGCCAATCCTTATGAGTCTTCACGGAGACTCCAAGGTTAAGATGCGTCAGAGCATATATTAATCTAGAAAGAGCATTTGTTTCTAAAATTGCACCCTTAGTCAGTGGTTCCGAACTTTTTTCAAATCATGACCCCCCTCTTTGATAATAGCCAAGTAACCTGAGACCCCCCCCCGCCACGTTTACATAAAAATGCATTTTTAACTAGGTAAAATCATCCTTTCTCAGAAAGTAGAGGCTTCTTTCTTCCCCAAATGGCCCTTTCCTCATACACACAAATACACACAAACTTTGATATCCGGCTCCGAAAAGTCAAGGAATACATTGTTTGACAAGGACTGCAACATGTGTAAGGTGATGAGTGACCCTCCAGAAAACACTTTGTCAACCCCCTTGGGGTTCAATGTTGGGAAATATTTTATTAAATAGTTTTATTTTTACTTCAGGTTTTTTTTTCTTCCTCATCAGTGCCAAGAACCTCAAGAGTGCCCTAGTTTTAAGAAATGTATCTAAATCATAGTCTGTAGGAAAAAAAATGTATTACGACCACCAAAAATCTGCATTTTTTCTGTTCTTCATCTACCACCTTGATTATAGAGTACCTTTTTATTCAGAGCAACTCAAGACAAGCTGAAACATCTTGCTATGATATTCAGATGGTTTTGGTTTTTTAGTTGGACTATTAAATGGCTTGTATCCTGTTGCATAGCACTGGCAGTGCAAAGGGAATGACGTCACCAGCCGCAGCATATTGAAACAATATTGGCTTTGATTTCAGGGTGCACATGACTTTGTCCCATTGCGTGTGAATCACATGAAGCCTGAAATCAAACCAGAAACTCTTTAAGTACTGGCAGTCTGCTAGTGATGTCATATCTGCTGTGCAGGTGTTGTTACACAACAGGATTTTGGCAAATACACTTTAAGTTATTGTGGCAATACAATTTTTAAGTTGTTAAATTTCTTACTTATTATTTTTATTGTATCTGTTAATTTTATTTGTATTCCACATTTCTCCCAACAAAGGGACCCAAGGCAGCTCACAGCATTAAAATTCATACAATTAAAACACAATAAGTTAAATAAGGACAAATTAAACAATAAATGATTTAAAATAAAATTAAAAGATTAAAACATGGTAACATGAAAAAGATTTGAATTATCTGCTAAGATGGGGTTTAGGGATTCAGCTGTAATTGTTAAAAGCCTGCCTGAAGAGACTGGTATTATTTATTTATTTATTTATTTATTTATTTATTTATTTATTTATTTATTTATTTATTTATTTATTTATTTATACCCCGCCCATCTGGCCTAAAAGACCACT